TCTTGTGTTCAGGGAGACTATGTAGAACGCACCTAGTCCGAAGTCGTCTGCCATAGTAGTTGTCTTGATTGCCAGTATCAGACAGTGGATTTGGTACATTCTCAGACGTTTCGCCGGCATAGTAGTCGGCATCATCAGTGAGCCTTGCCATTCGCCGCACCAAGATACGAACTCGTCAAAAAGACAAGTGAAGTCAATCCCTCGACTAACCGTTCTGCTGGAAACGGTTCCTTAACTTCCCTGTTGACCGATTTCACTCGGGTCCAGTCCCTGTGTGCATTTCACTCTGGCCGCTATTTCGTAAGGCCCTAGAAGCACATATAATGCCGCTTCACTGAGCGGAGTGTTTCTATAAGTCGAAAGGAGACTCCGACCATACCCGAGGTCACAACATCTTGGTCTTCACATCTTCAATTCAACTACGGTAGTAAAATTGCCAAACAATGCACTGAATACAGCCGTACAAAGAAGACAATTGTAAGTCAGTCATCCCATATTTTCTTTTTAAACTGTTGTATACGTTATGGTATCACTCCTAAGTTCTGTGACCTTAAGAGACCTTACCACTCTTTGATTTGAGGCAGATAAATTTCGCCAATTTATGTATTTGTCCATGTTTGTTGTTGATTATCAGTCTAAGTGGTTCTCCTTCTTTATGTACCTTCGGCAAAGCATGTGTTACATGGGCTCTTGCATCTTTTTGTATGAGTGAATTTATTGCCCATTTGTTGATTTTCACGTTCCTATTCATTCTTTTCAGCATTTCTTGCAGTGCCCCTTTGATTTTAACTGTTGGGTATTTTGTTAGTATTCGAAAACTTGTAGAGTCCACGAGAATATTTTCCATTTTCTCTTTTATTCTTTCCTGTCCATCACCATTGTGGCACCTCCTTTGCCGGTTTGTAAGACTATTTGATCCTTTCTTCTCAATTTGCTATATATTTTGATTAGATTGTTCTTTTTAATGTGTTCTTGATGCTCCAATATGGTTGGGATGATTTCCATTTCCAGCTTAATTTTTGATTCTTCAAGTAGACTCTAACAGGTGCCATCCTTAGCACAGAGTGAAGATGCCGACTAGAATGTGTATGAAACTTCTGGGAGTGTACCAAATCAACAGTCCGACGCTTGAAATCAACATGAATATTTTGCTAGAGTCCACAAGGTCTCCATGCTGCTTCGACAAAGTTAGGAAAACGAGGCTAAACCAATACCACACAGCTAAATGAGATAACAACCAAACAAAAAGCTACATCATCTTGATCTTCATATATCTAATAACTAATGGCAAAACAAAATTGTTAGATATGAAGAGAATTTGGGTTTCGAAGAATCCCTTAATAGCTTGATATCGGCATACATTTAATTTCGTTTGATAAGGAGGGTGGAAGGGCTTCGTAGATTGGCCTCGTCGGAAACCGAAGGACGGTTGCCTTAGTCTTATGTTTGTTGAATTTTCACGTGACGGACATCGTCAGAACCAGAAACATTATTCACGAAAAATCACTAAAATACACAAAACCGAGAAAGATGCAAGGCTTACATCCAACTTACTTCTTATAACTCACTTTGCGATCTTAATGAGGCATTCCATGATTTGGTTGTCCCAAATGCTAGGGATGCAGGAAGAGGAGCAGATGTGGCCATAAATTTTCTCAATGTACATAATCTTGTAGTCATGGTGCTTGTTTTTGCTTCGTGAGTGTGTGTGTCTGTGTGTATGCCACACTCACGAGTTGGCTGGCAATTGTGGGTCCGAAAGCAGACTCCAGCCTAGTCAAGTCTTCTTTTAATCAGTGGCTCTTCCTGTACCCTTTCCTTTTCTCTCTCCCTCTCCATATCTCTACGTATATTTAGCAGCCAGATATAGTTCTTTCTTAATTTTCTACATTCATTGCTCCTATTCATGCTATTGTTTGTTTTGTTAATTTCAATCGACTCCCTGATCTTCCGCTTAGCTGGTAAGTCCCCACATCCGGCAAAACTTTTGAATTTGGACCAATCTATCTGGAGTCCTGTCACGACCACATGTTCAGTCACCTCCGATTTTGGAACCTATAAAAATTTGCAAGCGGTTATGAGTTCTGATAGCCCCTTATGCATGGGTCGAAAAGTCTCCCCCACACAAGCATTACCACATGAGCACAAAACCTTATAACAGCCTCATCTGCAGAGGGCGTCTGATGATTGTCTAAAAGACGGCAAGACCGAGGAAAGAGTTATTGTTTCTTTATACATTGTCTTGACGCTCCATTTCTCGGTAATTCGCCTCTCTTTCTTGAAAGCTTGCAGGATGTTAGGGAAATAGACAAAGAGTTGTCTGATTCCTTGTTTTCTCTCAAATTAAGGTTTCCTTTTACTCTATTTCTGAGTATTTTAAAATGATTAACACTTAATACTCGCGGATAATTGTTCTCAACAAAGATTATTCTTGGTCTTTCTAACTCGTGTTCCTGATAATTTACGTCCGCTAGGTGTGAACTCTTTATTCTCATTGGTTACGGTACTCCTACCTTAACACCATAAATATGATTATAGAAGAAAGCCTGCGTTTGTGCGTTTCCTTTATACATCTCTACCCAGTTTGTTGCCTTAGTTACTAACTAGGACAGCCAAAAAGGGTGGCTTACTCTCCTTTTATGACTCTACAGTGAATTTAGTCGACTTCTCTACTCTATTCATTAACCCAAGGAGGTGTTCCAAACAATCTTTACCATGCTGACAAACAGCCAAGTAATCATCCATATCTCGGACCCATAGTTTCGGATATAGGAGTGACTCTTGAAAAGCCGGACTTCCAATTGAGCCACATAGTTACTAACTAAAGCTGGAGACAAACATGATCCCATGGCTAACCCTCCTGTTTGCTCATCTTATTTCCTGATATTATCTCTGGGTTTAGATATGTGGTTAATCCTAATGGCTGCATGGCCCCAATTACCATTCTATTTGTGCACACCGATACCACATCGAAGCTTACTAGTAAATCTTCCTGTTCTTTTATTTGCTCATATATTAACTTTATAAAATCCACGATCTTATGCTGGGAATTACGATAACTACTGTTGCAGAGAACTTCGGACAGGTGCGTTCAACTAACTCGACCTGACAACAAGAGAAAGTTGTGAAAACGATGTCAACCCACTTCTACCACTCGTGATTGTTGTATACACACATGAACATGCATCTATGGCTCTAACAAGACCCAGAATTACAGGTTCATACACTACTTTATTTACATAGACAAAAGTTGCGACCACATCCGCTCCCCTTCTTGCATCACTTTGACCCACTTAAATGCATATAGGACAAGCATAAAACAGCCAACCAAATCATGGAACGCCTCATTAAGATCGCAAAGTTAAGTATAAGAAGTAGTATCTCAGGTGGCCACATTTCTTGGTTTAGGTTTTTGGTGATTGTTCGTGCATAAGGGTTTCTGGTTCTGACGATGTCCGTCACATTTGAGATTCAACTCTCTGGATTAAATGAGAATGAACCAAAAGTCGATCGTCTGTTAACCAAGCCAAAGATACCGTCCCGGTTAGGCTGTTCCCATCAGACCAGAATCAATTAATCTCTAGGCCAGTACCATGTTCAAGCCGAAACTACAGAGACGGTGGCCAGACAGAGGACGAATCTGTTCTGGTTATCTTGCCAACCAATCCCAGCTTCCCCATTCCAAAGGGCTGTTCATGCCTTGTCAAACCTACATGGATCCTGGCTTTAGCCAAGATTTCGAAGCCTACTTTAATCGTGTTTAAAGTGGGTTCGACCACCTGCCTTCGGACGGGACGGAAATGGAGAACGGAGCATCACGATGAGTATACGTTTAGGGCCGAGCAGCGAAGCGTCTTAGACGGCTCCCAGCCGTGACAAAAGAAGAAGTAATTTTTAATTGTATTGTGAACGACAACTAATCAACCCATCAACAGACTATCTAATCAGCAGTATAGGGTAAAACAACTTAGCAAAGAAACAGCTTAGCATGTAGGCACTGGTTTGAAATTGAAACAAGCGTTAAAATGAATGTAGACTTTTATCTTAGCTACAAATGAGGCAGTATCCGTCGGCTGAGTGCATATCGGATGGCAGGCAGGCAGGCAGGAAAACATGCAGGCATGCAGGCAGAGAAACGAGATAAACAAGATGAAACAGAGGGAGACCGAGAAACGTGGAGAAAAGCATTCCAGTGCATATGAGCAGGTTGCCTAGTATTCCTCGCCCTCTTCTCCCTCCCCCTCGGCCTCCACACTGTCAACACCGACTTCCTCGTAGTCCTTCTCTAAAGCGGCCAAGTCCTCACGCGCCTCTGAGAACTCTCCCTCCTCCATTCCCTCACCGACGTACCAATGCACAAAGGCACGCTTCGCGTACATCAAGTCGAACTTGTGGTCGAGGCGGGCCCAGGCCTCGGCAATGGCCGTCGTGTTGCTCAACATGCACACAGCACGTTGCACCTTGGCCAGGTCACCACCGGGCACGACAGTGGGTGGCTGGTAGTTAATGCCGACCTTGAAACCGGTAGGACACCAGTCAACAAATTGGATGGTCCTCTTCGTTTTGATGGTGGCGATAGCAGCATTAACATCCTTCGGGACGACGTCACCTCGGTACAGCATGCAGCAGGCCATGTACTTGCCGTGTCGGGGGTCGCATTTGACCATCTGGTTGGCCGGTTCGAAGCAAGCGTTCGTGATCTCAGCCACGCTCAACTGCTCGTGATAGGCCTTCTCGGCTGAGATGACAGGCGCGTAGGTGGCCAGAGGGAAATGGATACGAGGATATGGTACCAAGTTGGTTTGGAATTCTGTCAGATCCACATTAAGTGCACCGTCAAAGCGAAGTGAGGCCGTGATAGAACTGACAATCTGGCCGATCAAGCGGTTCAAATTCGTGTAGGTAGGTCTCTCAATGTCCAGATTACGACTGAATTACGTCCGCGCATGAGAGAGATAGTGAGGGAGACACGAAACAAAGACAAGGCCAAGAATATCAACTCTAATCGTGAAGCTAAGCAAGAAAGACTGATTTAAAAGAGCCGGCATTGGTAGTTGCCAAGAGATGAGGAGAAATTGAGAAGAATGTAATTCGACCAACTTTATCTTTGTTGGGGAGACTTTAAGTTCTTATGAAAGTGCATGAAGAAGACATTCTTAGTTTGATCTCACCACAAGAAGACGGCTAATTCTAGTTGTACTGCAGCCTCTTGGCTTTAGTACGACGTTCCGATTGACGCAGTCTGCGAACTATCCTTCGTTTCATGTGAAAACGGGCTGAGCTTTCGTCCACCGAAACGAGGAAGGTTGTCTCATGGACTGCTTCAACCTGGACATCATATTAGAGCCAAACGGCTGCAGTACAACGAGAATCAGCCGTCATCTTCTGGTGAGATTAACCAACGCATCTCTTCTTCATGCACTTTCATACGAAATGAAAGTCTCCCCAATAGAATTAACTCAGGAGACTAATCGAAAGCCAGTTACTCTTCGTATCTACACGTTTAGCTTACCGGCAGATATCGTAGATCGCTTCATTGTCCACCATAAACGCACAGTCTGAATGCTCCAGCGTCGTGTGTGTCGTAAGAATTGAATTGTATGGCTCAACAACGGCAGTGGAGATCTGTGGCGCTGGATATACGGAAAACTCGAGCTTCGACTTCTTGCCATAGTCGACCGACAGACGCTCCATCAGCAAAGAGGTAAACCCAGAGCCAGTACCTCCGCCAAAGGAATGGAAGATGAGAAAGCCCTGGAGTCCAGTGCACTGATCGGCCAGTTTACGGATTCGGTCCAAGACGAGGTCGACAATCTCTTTGCCGATGGTGTAATGGCCACGGGCATAGTTGTTAGCAGCATCCTCTTTTCCAGTGATTAGCTGCTCCGGATGGAACAGTTGTCGATAGGTGCCAGTTCTCACCTCATCTAAACAGAAGATGTGCTTGATCAGTTAAAAATAGTGAGCCAATTACGGAAATTAGAAAAGCTAAATTAATTCATACATTTAAATAGAGTTAGCTTATTAAAAGACCACTCCCTGTTGTCATAGCGACATCAACTAAGGTCACCGATTGGAGGTACGTTGCCCGCCAATCATCAGCATGAATTCCCATAGTCACAGAGTTCTAAAAAATTGCAAAGATGCGTGGCAAAAATGGATATTTCTCCGGAACCGTTGTGTTTCAATGCCACTTTTGTGAAAGGCCTTCAGCCAGACAAGATGTGAAATAACAACCCGTTTAACGAGGGATATCTTTTTCAAAGGACTTACCAACTACAGTCGGTTCGAGATCCACGAACACCGCCCTGGGTACGTGTTTACCAGCGCCAGTCTCACTGAAGAAGGTATTGAATGAGTCGTCACCCCCTCCAATTGTCTTGTCACTGGGCATCTGGCCATCAGGTTGGATGCCGTGCTCCAGACAATAGAGCTCCCAACAGGCATTGCCAATCTGCACACCGGCCTGGCCCACATGAATGCTTATACATTCGCGCTGGAAAACAAAATTGCACGCATAAAAAGGGAACACATAATAGGGGAGTGGAGAATTTTAAAAAATAGTGGGAAGGCTCACCATGTTTGCCAAATTCCACGAAGAGTTGAAATGTGACTAAACGTAAGGGCTTAAATGCAGATCAACACGATTTAAAACACACAAGAATCCTTCGTAATGCTGACACAGGACACGCTTGTTACGCTAAACTCTGCCACCGGTAACCAACGGGGAACCCGAGCAGAGAGATGCGCAGTGACGCAAGGAAGACCGAGGAAATGTCTAATCCCTGTCGAACAGCTAATTTTATATTAACCATTTGCGCCCTGAACGACCAGTCTCAGCAACGGTTGGCATGACTCTACTAGACGCAGCAAGCCGATTGGTCACTTTGTCTGGGGTCACAAGGTCGGCGCGTGCTGATTGGTTGGATGTGTTGGCGACATTGCCGCTGCCGCCGCCTTGGCAACGACGCCTCTTGTGACCGCAACAGTGATTTAACAAAGCAGACTACGCCTTGAGACTGATACTCGCCTAATTGTGATTCTATTCTTAGAAAAAGAAAGATTATTATTAAACCACCCCAGCAATGATGGGAAATACTCTGCGTAGAATCCGTATATATGACTACAAGAGTTAAGGAAACATATCATTCAATGCCACAAAAACGTAACAAGTTTAGAGTCTTCAAAACGTGATTTTCTAACTCGCTTGCTTGTTGGATTAGGCGGTCGAAGTATTCATCAAGTGAAATGGTTGTGTGGGAACCTCACAAATTGGCGCCTCGGGGAGGCGTCGATTTTCCCAATTCAACCAGTATCTATTGCCCATCCCGTAGGCGGATGCTTGACATAAGTTTGAGGTAGGGCTTTCGTGTAAAGACAAAATCGGGCCATATGAGATGCCTGAGTTGATGAAAGACTGGTAGTTGAATTTTCCTACAATCGTATGAGTAGGCTTCACGTTTTCATTAACTTTCACATATCCTTGCTTCTTGACAAGGCATTCTCATTCATGTTGGAATTAATTTTCGATCTCGTCCAGATCTCATTAGCACCTCCAGCGGGGCTCGAATCCTGATTGTGGTATTGTGGCGTGTAGTCTCTACACCTTAACCACTATGCCACCCTGACCCTAATGTACTTGGTTCCCATGACAGGGGTGAATTTAGAAACAGACCAAATTTTTCCGTTATCACGTTTCCGTAGCGGGCTTGTCGATAAATCAAAGTTGTATTTGCCACTACAGTCAATTATATTACTTATTTTCGTTTATAAGCACGTGTTCGAGGCTACCACCTGATTTTATTTAAGAATCGTATCGTATATGATTATGTGAAACCAAGTGGAAACGCAAGATCCCCTCATATGATTGTGTGAAAATTCAACTACCAGTCCTTCATCATCTTAAACTAAATAGGGCAAACACAGCTCATAGTTCCAATCTACTGATAGTCACGAAAACCTACTAAAAACGAAAAAAGACAGGCCATGATCAGTTCAGCCAATGCGTGCTTCCCATAAGGCCAAGATGGTCGGACTCGGGTGCTTAATTCGACTAAGGACTTTCTGTGGTGGTGTCTGGCCAATGGACCTGGATGACTTGGAAAAGTTGAGCAAACGGACGAGCACAGATAATGATGATAAATGGTTTGTAGATCAACGGTATAAGCTGTTGTTTGAGTCCAATAAAACGTTCAGACAGAGTCAGTCTTTCAAACTCATTAGTCTTGGTGAAACTTTCATTTCGTATGAAAGTGCATGAAGAAGTGGTTCGTAGGTCGATCTCACCAGAAGAGGACGGCAGAATCCGGTTGTACTGCAGCCGTTTGGCTTTTATACGACGTTCAGGTTGACGCAGTACACGAGATTTTCCCCCTCGTTACGGGTGAAAATGGGCTGAGGTTTCATCTATTATTCGATGAACATCTGCAGAGATGGATCTCATTCATGTGAAAGTCTTAAGTTAATGCTAGGGTAAGAAGAGCTAAGATGGAGTCGGATAGTCTTCTTGCGAGACTTTTACAAGAATGAGATCCAGCTCTGATGATGTCCATCAAATGATGGACGAAAGCTCAGCCCATTTTCACCCGAAACAAGGGAGGAAATCTCGTGGACTGCGTCAACCTGAACGTCATATAAAAGCCAAACGGCTGCAATACGACCGGATTTGGCCGTCCTCTTCTGGTGAGATCGACCTACGAATTACTTTTTCATGCACTTTTATACGAAATAAAAATCCCCCAATATTTTTATCTCAGGGGCTTAATCTAAACCGAGTTACTCACATTATACTTATTCTGTCCTTACGATTGTGTACTAGGCTTTCGGCTGTTATGCCAATTTGCAGACATTGTCGGAGTTTGAGCCTTTTTTATGGTGACTTTAAATCTGTGAGACAAGAAGACACATCCTCGGGGTCGAGGTTGATCTCTTACATGTGTTAGAAGACCATGTTTTGAAGACTATAAACGTATGACGTTGTTGTGACATAGAGTGATATGACTCCTGACTACTTGTAGTTATATGAGATGTATTCATCCAATTTCGTTTAAAGTAATGAAGGACTGGTAGAAGAAGAATTTTCCCACAATGCTATCAGTTTAGCTGACTTTTCCATTG